AGTAAAAGTGTTAATGCATAAAACCTGCTCGTTTTTAGAAAATAACTTACAAAATTGTCAGCTGTATTAAAAATTGAGACTGACAGTAGAAAAGTGGCATGGTGACCCATTTGTGCAGTGACTATTTTGTGAAATTTGGTCAGCAAAGTACAGTGTAGCTGGTAAGTGAAATGGGCAATGTGGCCTTTATAATGAGCGCTACATCCAGGCAAGCAGAACTATTTACTGGCTGTGTAAAATACACTGTTAACCATTTTTATCTGAAGTGCCAGGATGTCCAGAACCAGTCCTGCATGCTACATTCACTATATAGCCATGCACAATGACTACCGGTGTTTCATTCCCAGTCCACATCCTCTTGCTTTTTAAGAGGATAGTTTGATATCATTCATGTGTTTACAATCACTTATGCTGCACAGAATGCATCGGGATCTGTTATGTTGCTGTTTGGGACTCATTTATCTTCTGACTGCATTAGCAGACCTCAATTTATATAGAGTGCATACAAACCAGCAGAGGTCTTTTACCAGTGGCCTCTCACACAATCCAAGATATCTCAGCCCCTCTCAGTCATTTTAACCATGCACCCAAAAGACTTAATTAAATCAGAATCCTGTCTCTCCTTTAGCTTGCCAAGCAGCAGAGCTGGACTGTCTGGCTTAATAATTTACAACCTACTACATTAACACTGGGATAAAACATAAATTAACCGCTTTAAGGCTGAGGACTTTTATGCTTGGCAGTCAGAGCAATGTATAAATTTAAGAGAATCGTCATTTTCACCTGAAATGCATATAGGTTTGACATTTCCATTTACTTAAATGGTGTATTTTTTTGAAAGAAATAGACAAAAAGGGTTTCATTTTATGCAGTATACATATATGTTTAGGGCTCAAATACAGGCATTTAGGCATAGAGAGTAAAATACGCCTGTATTTGTGGCACCCGGGAGCCCCAGCTGTGTTTTTCTTTCCATAGAATTGTTCGATGAAGTCTACAATTGTGACGAGGGAGCAGGGAGTCGGCTTCCCGGCCAATCATCCTGATACCGGAAGTATCGGGCTAGGCATCAGAGCATTTGGGCGAATACGAGTACTCGCCCAAATACTCGGCATCGGTACTGATACTGGTATCGGTGCATCCCTAATTGTATTAAAGGCATTGTAGTTGCTTATGATACATAGTGCTTTGGCAAACGTAATGTCATTCAAATGAGGTTTATATCTACTTTAAAATGCACATACAGCCAATACTCTCTAGACTAGGTAATGGTTAAGGCCTGTCAGTTGTTTTTTTTTTTTGCTGTCTGTGTAACGTCTGGAAGATATCACTTCACTTCCTCTCCCAAAGACAAATCAGGAAGTATGAAAATGTCTCTCCAAAGAGAGGGGCACTACCCCCTTAGACAATTGTCACCAAAACAGATATCCTCATTGGAAAAATCCCCCTCACCTTCTCGTGACAACTCACAATCTTTGGATTTCCCATCACTTGTACCAGAGACATTGGTCACCAAGACAAAACAGAGGGCTAAATCTACCCAGCAGGAACGCAGACAGAAAAAAAAGGGGTTCTTAGCCTATCATATTCTATCCAAAACTATAAATAAGTTCCAGCCCTTTTTGAATTTGCTAGAGTTGCAGGGTTGCCAGCCTGAGACTGAAAATAAATCATTATAGTAATTCACTATAATGTCTATAACACTATAATTTTCTGGCATAATAATTCACATTATACATTGCCTGGCCAAAAAAATTCAAAGTCACCACTTGGATTTATCCATTGGATAATTAGTTTAGGTTCAGCAACGTTATGCCCCTAAAAAATTAGGTCAGCTGCCTACTTGTATATACTGAATGACCAGGTTTTTCCATTAATGAATTGTTTCTTCTCTGATGGCACATGGCAGGATGGATAAATCCTGGCATTGTCATCTTGGAATATGCCCATATTCCAAGATGACAATGCCAGGATTTATTGGGCTCAAACTGTGAAAGAGTGGTTCAGGCCTTAATCCTATTGAAAATCTGTGAGATGAGCTGGAGAAGACTTTATGCAGTGGGCCGACTCTCCCATCATCACTATAAGATGAGCAGCACAGTGCCATAGTGGTTAGTGCTTCTGCCTTGCAGCACTAGAGAATCCTGGCCATGTCACTATCTGCAAGGAGTTTGCATGTTCTCCTTGTGCTTGCGTGGGTTTCCTCTGGGTACCCCAGTTTCCTCCCATACTGCAAAGACATACTGGTAGGTTATTGGCTCCTGTCTAAAATTGGCCCTTGTGTATATATGCATGTGAGATAGATTGTAAGCTTCTTGAGGGTAGGGAATCATGTGAATGTGCAACTACGTAAAGCGTGTGTAAATTGTCAGCACGATATAAATACCAGTAATAAATAAATAAAAAAATAAGATCTTGGTGAAAAATGAATCCAACTATGGATGGAAATAAGTGTGTCATTGCATATGCTTATCAAAACGATGCCACAGCGTGTTGTAATCAAAGCTAAAGACGGTCCAACAAAATATTACAGTGTGTGACTTTTTTCTTCAGGCAGTGTATATTGTTATATTGTACTTTCTATTTCTAGAGGAAGAGTACAAATAATTTCAGGATTAATTAATATAACAGGGACATTTTATGATAGCTTATGGATACTTAGACGAGGAATGACTAACATCTGACCAAAATAAAGTTGATTTCTCAAGGACATTCTACATACCAATCAAAAGTTAACTTTTCCTGTTTTATTTGATTTTTAACTTTTGCAGCACAGTGTGGCCTCATTATTGACAGACACACAAATGCTTCTGTCAGGATTTTAACAACTGCCTTTCCTGAACATCTTCTCTGCAAGTGGGCTGTGCTGCGGCCTGTCAACATGTTCAGTTTGAGGAGTAGCTAATTGCAGTCTAAGCTAACAGCATGAAATGAGCAGATGCTTCTCAAAGGCTGTTTAATTATCTGAAGTTGGTGAGATGGACTGCACTTAAGCTATAAACAAAGCTAATGTCAGATTGCAAATATGCTTCAATATACAGTATACCTCCGATGTACAAGAACATCTAAATATGCTGGCACATACTTTTTGAAGAGGCAACATTAATTTGTCTTTTAAAGTTAAGTGTTCAGCACATTTATGAGTATATTTTAAAGAGCAACAACAGGCAGCATGTGGAAATAAACTGATGTGACATCTGGATTTTGCTGAAGCATTTGATACTATTACCCAGAATAACGTAGCTAAGAAGTTAGGCCTTGTTCACACAGTTTTCAGTTTGTAGAAGCAGTGTGAACATCAGGCTTTTCCAAAGTTTTCAGCAAGCGTCAGGCAGCTTTGCTGAAGCTTTAACCTTTTCGCTGCCACCCACACATGTTGTATGTTGGCAGCAGTGGGCCTCTCTTTATCTGTGTAAAGTCCTTTATTGGCTTTACAGAGGAAGCAATCTGGGTGGCTGTAAAGCCGCCTGATCGCTTCCAGGGGGAAAAGTGTATATATTGCAGAAAAGTACTGCATATGTTTTGTTTTAGTTTTTTTTTGGCTTGGCATATGATTTTACAAGGTATTAATGACAAAATCAATAAATAAAATTAAGAGGTACTGGATGGCTTTGTTACAACTAAAAACACTGCAATGAAGTGGTGGCATTTAAGGACGCATGGCGCCAGAAAGGTAAGTATAGTGAATTTTCTTTTACAGGGCTGTTGTAAGTGACCCTGTAGTGACAGAGACACTTTATAAAGAATGACAGTTGACAAAGATGTTAGAAATTTTTTAAGAGGTAAAAAATTAAAAGAGCGGTTTCTAGCCTCAAGCTGGTAATTTATCATTATCCTTGCAATGCCAAGCAATAGTTGTGGCATGTATATCCAACCTTAAAAAATTAAACCTGCATTTTAATAAAGTAAAAAAGAATCCCTTACATTAACAGTTAGTCACATTTATTATAGTAACTGAAACAATGAATGCCTTGTTACTGAGGTGATACATACCGTATTTTAGTGTCCTTTTCATATGAGATCAAGAAATGACCATGTATAATATATAATGAAGTCAATGGCAGAAATGTAACCAGTTGTGCACCTTTGATGTACCTTGGTCACTCAGGGCCTCTCTCCTCTGCCACAACCACTGTGTCACCGGATCGCTTGGACAGACTCAATATGACTGCTTGGCCCTGGTCTTTGTTTCAGGACTGCTGACAGCTACAGTATCTGTATGCTTCCTTTTTCCACGTGTATCTTTTCGATCTTCCAACCCAAAAATGTAATGGTAGAATCACTGCTATCTGACCAAAATGGCCTTTGTGTATGTGATTGTTTATATGACAATGGTAGAGACTTGAGACTACTTTGGAGCAGGAACAGATCATGCAACTGATTCTAAAAACTTTGCAAAACTGCAGCATAATGTGGTAGCGGTATAGAAATGTGGAATATAATGTGGATAATGTAAAAAAATTAAGTATGCCCATTTAAAGTCCATACCCGTACCATGAGTAAACCCTAGGACAAGTTTTTGAGGTCACATAAACAGTAAAAACGCGATTACCTAAATCATTTAAAAAAAAAAAACTTCTATAAGAATTTACAGGATTTGTAAAGCAAAAAAAAAAGTATATGGAAAACTCCAATGAAGCCCAACTTAGCAACCCTTAAGTCACACCTAAAATGTTGAAAGTTAGTTGTTTAAATCCATAAAAACAACTTGTCTAGCATATACCTAAAATATGTAGAAAAAAATCCCACATAAAAATACAAGGAAAAGTTTAAAATGCAGAAACTTTAGTTTGGTACACTATTAACACACTAAGGTCTATAGTGATCCCTATAGAGTATTCTGTCATGTTTTAGTTCTAGGAGACAAAACAAGGATGGTCTACAAGTACATTTTTTATTAGCTACTGTCACTCCTGATGTTACAGGAAGTATTGTGTATGCTTCAATTTGTTCCCAGCAGACAGCACTGATGTAGAGAAATCAATGGAGAACAAACTTACGTGTCATATACGTTAAGCAGCCAGTTCAGACACATGTCTACACAGAGAGGCACATTAACCAGATCTTTGTGTTTTTCCTCTATGCTGTCATAAATGGAAGTGAGGATGCTGATGATTTCCGGGACAGACAGTAGCTGTTGGTTTTGATTGAGTTCATGTTGTTTGAACATATTGTGCGTGGTGCTCAGTTCCAGTAGATCCACTAGAAGAATAAAAGTCAAAACAGTAGTTATAATCTCTTGAAAAAGAATAAACTACAGTTAGTGTCATTTACAAAAGCTTGTCAAAATGCAGCAATTAATTTGCCAGAAAACATGATATATAGACAAACTCTACAACTCAAACTCTACTTCTCCAATTAACACAATACACTTTTACATAGTAGAACATGAAAGTTAAAAAACAAAGTTACATTCACTTTAAATTTATGATGCAACCAGCCCTGATTATTGTCTTATTTTTGTGTTTAAAAATCTAATTGTTTAGAGATGAATCAACCCAAGGATATTTTCTTGGTCTGCTGATCTCACTGCTTTAAAATACAACAAATCTAATGAGTTCAGCTAAATGTATACAAAATGGGACATTTATTTTTATTTATTTTATTTTATATCAAGGCAAATGAAAAAAAAAACCTTTATTCCACTTGTGTATTTATTAACAATTCAGGGTTTAGGACGTTAGGGGTACACCCTAAAAAAAAACACAATGTTTTTAGGACACATCTTTAACGTACAGCTATTCTCCTCCTGCTATTACCCAAAATGACCACTGATGCTTTGTATTGCACAGCAGGGGAAGCTGGCAAAATGTAGCTGTTCTTGTGTAAAATGACACTTACAGTCTGCAAGTGTCATTGATTAAATACAATTAATCAATGTACTGTTTCATTGTATTTACTATTTCATTCCTATGTAGTTCAAAGGTGATCTATATAGGAAAAAATTGAAAATATAATTACAACACTTACAGAAACCTTTCAGCGTATTCTTTTTTTTTTCCCATTAAATAAATGTATTCCTATTTAACTTCTTATAAACCCTAATCAGCCCTAATTACTCCTTCCTCCCCTTAGCTATTTTTCATGTTTTCTTAATTTTTTTTAATCAATATCTCTTCCATTTGTTTTGTTTGTTACTTTTTTTCAGCGTCGCATAACAAAAAAATATACGAAACTGAAAAAAAACGATTTGATATTTTTAATTTAACTTTGCAGGACTTTGTGCCAAAAACATAATTTTAGAGTCATTTTAAATAAAACAAATTATAGAATAAAATGTATAGTTGTTGTCTACATTAAAACTACTTTGGTCACTACACTGGTCAAAACAGGAAAAATAAAATTTGTTTTCACATCTTTCTGTTTCTAGATTCTATGGAAAATAAAATGCAAACCAATATTCCTAAAAGAAAGCCTATTTTTTCCCTCCAAAACAATTTATGTATTTGTTATCTTAAGGAATGATAAAGTTATTGCCAAATAAACAGGCCCAGAGAGGAAATGTAAAAATTGTTCTGGTACATAACGGTAGAGGTACAAGAGCTGAAGTGGTTAAAAAAATCAATAATGCATTTTTAAATACTGCTAACTCAAATACCTACTGCCTTTATACCCTGTTTCCCCGAAAATAAGACCTACCCCGAAAATAAGACCTAGTACTATTTTTGGGAATTGCTAAAATATAAGACCTACCCCGAAAATAAGACCTAGTTGTGACCATTCCCAGGGCCAGTGGTGGCATAAGGGGGAACTTGAAGAGCCGCGGGAGAGGGGGGAGAGAATCAGTGGTGCCAATGAAGCCAGCGCTAGAGGGAGCAAGGCGGCACCGGAGGGAGCAGAGCCACATAAGCCGATGCCTCCTCTATATAGCGCCGGCTCCTGTCACAGGCGGAGTGATACCAAATGCACTCCGCCTGTGAGGAATCGATAGTGAAAGTGCACTTCGCTCATCCTGGCCAGCGATTGGTTACCAAATTGCTCTTGGAAAGGTACGGCACCCCTGATTGCCCTGATCACCATATTTTTGTACATGAATACATGTAGACTTTTCTACATAAATACGTGTGGATTGTTGTACATTTAAAAAAGAAATAAGACCTAGTGTGTTTTTTTGAGCCCCAAAAAATATAAGACAGTGTCTTATTTTCGGGGAAACACGGTATTTGCTTTCCTTTATCTGCTGGGGATCATAAATTGGTTATTATTGCACTGTACAATGTTTTCATCCTAACATGCTTCAGAGGATTGGAACCTAAAGGAAAAGCCTTTAGACAGCTTAGATGGGAAGGAAAGTACAATGGAGACCTCTGCACTATTGTTATGGCCATGATAAGGAACCCCAGGTTCATGTTATTAAGTTATAGCCACAGAATAATATATTCAAACACATAACATAATTATCTAATTTTCTGTACGTCAAATAACAAGCCAGTACAAAACAAAGGATTTTTTTAAACATAAATGTAATTTTTAATGGCACTATTAATCCAGGACTATTAAGATTTCTGGCTGACTGTCTTTGTAGCAGTGTGTGTATGTGTTTGAAACTTCATCTGGCAAGCAGGCAGACTTGGCGTGGTATCAGCACGGAATTAAAATTACAAATGTCCCTCTATTATGGACAGGTCTGGTGAAAGCCATAAATCACAACACCTCTACAATGAAAAGCAAGTGGCTGAGGAGGGCACAAGCTCTCAGAACAGTTTTGGCAGGGCTCGATAGCCAGTCATTTGCTTACTTCAAAAACAGAAAAACATCTAATAGTTCTCTTGGTGACTTAAGCAAAATTACTAGCCAACAACATGTCATCCAAGGCAAAGACAGTATTTGAGAATAGATTTTGTAAAACTGCCAACATAACAAAAATACAATCAGAATTTGCAGAGACTGGAATGTTTGGAACTTACAGTGGAAATAAAATATTTTTTAAAAAGTCTAAATGGGAACTTTTATTTATAAAGTACCAATGTATTCCACAGCACTGTGTAAGTGAATGTGCAGTAATTACAACATATACACAAACTACAGTACACAATATTAAACAGAAAGAAGACGAATACTTGAAAAGACTAATAATTAAAGTGTATCAAAAGCTAAAGCTGAAGTTACCATTTCAGATAAAGTGGGGAAGGGTTAGCAACCCTGTCAAATTTTTATCAACCTCTGTGACCCTGCTGGGGAGAATTACTCTTTTAATTGTCCCAGTAACCAATGTCACGGGACTAAAAGTGGGAGAAAAGCCAAAATTTTGAGTTGTAACCAGAACAGTAATAAAGAAAAAGTGTTGTAAAAAAAAAAATTAGCTATACCATTGGAAATACCAAGAGGTTGGTCCTGACTGCGTACGAGTACGGACACCCGCCCAGATGTGCAGCTCGGGTGAGCGTATGGCTGCGTACTCCCATAGAGAAGAACAGGCTGCTGCGTACAATCACACGCAGCACCTGTCTTTCCTGGGAACAGCCCGATACGCCCATGCACACCATACAGATCTATACGGGCCGACTCTTAGCAGTGTGAATGAGGCCTATGAGTCATCATCTCATAGCTCTGTGTGTGTTGTGAAGATCTCCTGCACTTGTGTCTGTAGCCCTTCTCTCCGTCACTGTGTTCTATGTGTCTGTGTGTGAGGACGATCTCCTGCACTTGTTGTGTCTGTAGACCTTCTCTCCGTCACTGTGTTCTATGTGTCTGTGTGTGAGGACGATCTCCTGCACTTGTTGTGTCTGTAGACCTTCTCTCCTTCACTGTGTTCTATGTGTCTGTGTGTGAGGACGATCTCCTGCACTTGTTGTGTCTGTAGACCTTCTCTCCGTCACTGTGTTCTGTGTGTCTGTGTGTGAGGACGATCTCCTGCACTTGTTGTGTCTGTAGACCTTCTCTCCTTCACTGTGTTCTATATCCATATTAAATGTTTATTAAAGATTTTCAAAATATAACAAAAAACACACATACAATACATTAAGCATACATTAAGACAATCACATTACATACGATATCTAAGGTAAAAGGGGGGACAAGAGACGCAGGGATACAGGTATAGGGATCGTAATGTGGTGAAGTACGTTGTGGGGAGGGAGATAGGTAGCATTTGGAAATAGAATAAGATTTTAGGGAGAATCATCATTTTGAGGGTGTTTATCCTACCCAGCCAGGACATGGTTCGGGCAGAGTATGAATTAAGGTCAAGCTTTACCGAATTGAGTAAAGGGATATAGTTGTGAGTGTAGAGATTTAACGTCTTAGGAGTGAGGTAGATACCGAGGGAGCGCATGCAGTCATGTCTCCAGAGAAAAGAAAAATGAGGACGTATGCTAAGGCAGTCTGCCCCTCTCACCGTTATGTTCAAAATCTCTGACTTGCCCATATTGATCTTGAAATTGGATAGTTCCCCATAAGTACGCAATTCAGACAGTATATGCGGAAGTGAGATACGAGGGTCACGAACATAAAAAAGGATGTCGTCCGCATATGCTGCAGTTTTGTACTCCATGGTTGGAGAGGGTATGCCATGGATGTTAGGATTATTACGTATAGTGGATAAAAAGGGTTCAAGGGAGAGAACAAACAACAGCGGCGAGAGAGGGCAGCCCTGGCGTGTGCCATTGTGCGGCGAAAAGGAGGGGGACAATATGCCGTTCACTTTGACTCTGGCGGTTGGGAAGGAGTACAATGCGGTTATCCACGCTAACATCCGGGGACCAATGCCCAGGGAGGTCAGCGTGGAGAACATGAATCCCCAGTCCACTCTGTCAAATGCTTTTTCGTCGTCTGTAGACAAGAGTAGGACTGGGGAATTCTGTGTATGAGCTAAGTGAATAAGGGACACAGATTTGAGGGCGCTGTCCCTGGCCTCCCTCCCCGGGACAAAGCCCACCTGATCCGGATGAATCCTTCACTGTGTTCTGTGTGTCTGTGTGTGAGGACGATCTCCTGCACTTGTTGTGTCTGTAGACCTTCTCTCTGTCATTGTGTTCTGTGTGTCTGTGTGTGAGGACGATCTCCTGCACTTGTTGTGTCTGTAGACCTTCTCTCTGTCATTGTGTTCTGTGTGTCTGTGTGTGAGGACGATCTCCTGCACTTGTTGTGTCTGTAGACCTTCTCTCCGTCACTGTGTTCCGTGTGTCTCTGTTGGGTCCCGGTCCGAGTGGCTCCATGTCGGGTCCCGGTCCGGGTGGCTCGTCGGCCATATCGGGTTCCGTCCCGCGGGAAGTGCCGTGTCCCGATCCAAGCCTTTGTGCGGGGACGCCCCATCGGCACCGTTAGGCCGCGCAGACGCCCTGTGACCCTGACGCTCCTTCTGGATTATCCCTCTGTACTGCGCTACCTGCCTATTACCGACCCGGCCTGCCCCTCGACTCTCCATTGGATCCTGCATTGTACTTCGTTGCCCGCCTATTACCGACCCGGCTTGTCTTCTAACTTTCCCACTGGTCTTCAGTACCCTCTCCGCACGGCTGCCTACTCTGCTGAGCCACCACCTGCTGCCGATACCTGGTATCCTGATCCAGCACCTGAGCACACTGTCTCCAACCCCAGTGATCATCAGACGGGGTTGCAAGGGAGGTCCTCCTCGTCATCTCGGGCCCACACCGCGGACCTAACAGTCTCTCTCAGATTTCTCCCTCTCCAGGGCCACATTAACTCTCTCTGCTGCCCCAAGTCCAGGTTCCTCAATGTGCCAGTTGGAGCAGTTGGTCATGGCAACCAGTCAGAGTCTCTCTTCAGTTTGCTCAGGTGAGATTTGAAAAAAAAGAGAGAAGCCGATTGGCTGCAGTGCAAGTTTGATAGATTCCCCCACTGTGCAGTGTCACCGGAGATGTGCGGGGTCAGGGGGAATGTGCGGGATCACAAGAGGATGTGCGGGGTCACCGGGGATGTGTGGTGTCACTGGAGAAGTGCGGGGTCACCTGAGATGTGCGGGGTCACTGTGGATGTGCGGGTTCATGGGAAATGTGTGGTGTCACTAGAGAACTGTAGTGTCACCGAGGATGTGCGGGGCCACGTGAAATGTCCGGGGTCACCAGAGATGTGCAGGGTCACCAGAGATGTGCGGGGTCACCAAGGATGGGCGGGGGTCACCAAGCACCGGCGGGGGTCACCAAGGATGGGTGGGGTCACCAAGGATGTGTGCCGCGTGTCACCAGGGCTGTGCGCAGTGTGTTGGTGCATCGCTAATTGAAGATTTTTGTCTGGGGCACTGATGTGGATTGTAGTTTTTATCTTATGGTTGAATTGCTTTTGCATATTTAACATTCACCTTCTTTGTGGTACATCTGATTGTGTATAATAAGTACACTGTGGATTACTTGGAGTGATTTAGTTGAACATCGGGGGGTATATCAGTTTCACAGTGCAGTGTAAATCACATGATATACATATTGTCCCAGGGACAGTGCAGAGTGACCGGGAGAATTATGATTTGACCTGTGAGTACAGTTGGAGGAAGAAATCAGTTATATTTTGTAGGGATGCAGCGATACCAAGTACCGTACTTGGTACAAGTACAGATACTTTTCCAGCTCCAGGACTAGACTAGAGAAAAATTCAAAAGTTAGGAGGCAGCTGTCATTAGGAGAACACGGGGCTCCTGGGATTTGTACATCTCTGTTTTAATGTATGATTTTGTTTTTATAAATATGTATAAGTGATGCACCGATACCAGTTTTCCAAGTACTCGTACTGATACTTGTCCAAGTACTCACAGATACAAGTACTGATACATTTTTGTTTATTGTCATGTGACAGTTTTTCTAAAACAATACAGACTAATGATTTCAGGACAGTGGTGGAGCGCCAGAACTAGGTCCCAGCTGCAACCGCTGCAACCCTGGTAGTTCTCATGAAAATGCCAAGTATCGGCACTGGTATCTGAAAAGTATCTGTGCATCCCTAATATTTTCTTCGGAGCAATTACTGGAGACAAAATATAACGGATTTCTTTAGCAATCACTTACAACAATCCTCCAACTGTAGTCATATCTCCTGATCACTCTGCACTCCCCAGTGGGAAGTACCACTATGAATATTAACCTCTTGCCGTCCGCCCGTAGTAAAAAAACGTACGGACGGCACTGCTGCATCTGCGGGTTGCCGTCTCCAGACGGCAATTTTTTTCTCTGCTCTGCTTCATCAGCTTCTTTTGGGGTCCATAGGTGATATTAGGGGTCCTAGAGACCCCTAATATCTCCATAAAGAGGACCTGTCAGTGTGCCTTTGCTATTATATAGGGGGTTGTTATCCCCCTATATAATAGCAATAACAATAAGTGCAAAAAAAAATATATAAATAAAAAAAAAGAAAAGTAACACATAAAAAAATAAAATAAAATAAAAGCCACATATAAAAAAAGGGGAAAAAACCCCCCCAAAATGTTTAACTCCCCCACCCCCACGTTTACGCGCCTATAAACGTAAATACGCGTCCGGTGCCCCAGCGCGCAAAAATTACAATTGCGCTACACATGTTACATATCGCCGCGAACGTCGCAGTGAGAGCAATCATTTTAGGGCCATCAATCACTGATAACACTAAACTGATGAGCGGTAACAGCTTTTAAAGCGTCGCCTAGGGCCAATTTTGGGTATTATCGTTTTTTGAGGTTTCGCGCGCACACGCAATTTTAAGGCTTGACATGTTTAGTGTCTTTTTACCCGACGTGACCCCATCTTTTATATTTTACCAAAAAATTGGGTAATAATAAATGTTTTATCATTTAATATAGGGGAAACTGTTTTTTTTTTTAAATTTCGGTAATTTTTCCTTAATATAGTAAAAAAATAAAACCCCCAGTGGTGAATAAATACCACCAAAAGAAAGCTCTATCTGTCCCCAAAAAAGGGTATAAAATTCATTTCAGTACAGCGCTGCATGACGGAATAAATGTCAGTTAAAGTACCGCAGCGCTGAATACTGAAAAATGGCCTGGATGGGAAGGGGGTTTAACACCGCGGATGTCAACTGGTTAATGATGCTCATGCACGAGAGAAGCAAAGCATTGTGGGACAAGGAGTTTTTCCACACCTTACACTGTAGTTTCCACTGTAAAAAGTCTGGCAGCAATTTAAAAAAACATGTGGCACCTGAGAGGACAACTAAAAAAAAAGTACGTTTTTGTGTTTCTATCCAGTATCTGCATATGCCGGCATCATCTCCATGCCATGTACATTGCTGACATATATATTTTTTCAAATGCCCCCGCAAAGGTGGAAATGTCCTTTAACTCATTCTGCAGCAGAATCATGTAGTTTCTGTACTGAAATCATGGATAACCAAAATTCTGATGACAGTAAAGCTGCATCAGCAAATTAAGTCCACTTAACACTGCTTAATTGTGTGCTATACATATGTACGTCTTGCCTTGTACAACAGTGTGAAAGATGCTGGCACATTATAAATTACTTACAATAAGGTAAAATATTTAATACTATACCACAACCTTTGTGAGATGTTTTAAGAATTCAAAACTTACAGCACAAAGTTTTCTGAAGTCTTCTTATCTTCATAGCAGTGCGATAGGCAGAAAACCTGACATTGTTTAAGTCTCCTGTAAAAGAAGAAAGCATTTAAGTTTGGAAGAAAGGAAAAGCAAAACTCGACTTCTGCTTGACAGGGCCATAACTTGCTGTATTTATTTTTCATACTAAAGCATTATTTTATGTTAAAATCACAGTTCAAGGGCTAGTGCATGACTACTCAGGCACAAGTAAAGCGGATATTCTACTATTAGGTATTTACACCAAACACTTGTGCTGACCGAGTTTATCAGCCAGTAGTATATGCAAGTCTTGAGTATGGAAGTAAAGAAAAATATTAGTTTAAAGCAAACCCACAATGGTTTAAATAACAAATAAATAAATAAAGCATCACTGGTAAAAGAGTAGGCACCAATTAATTGAACTTAAATGGTCTATTTATGCGGTGGGCACCATCAAATTCCAGTACATACATCCCATTATATAGTCTGGCTCTCTAATGAGTCACTGAAACTCTCTATGCGAATACTGACTTTCTGAAGACAAAATATGTATTCCACTACATATACTGAGGCCTCACTGATATACTGATAGTCTTGTTCTTTCAGGTGGGGGG